TGCTTCTTCATGTGCTTCCTGAAGACTCGGGCTCCGCTCAGGTTCTTCTGGCAGATGTCGCAGAAGTACGGCCGAGCCTCCGAGTGCACGTCCACGTGGTAGGTGAGCTCGAGGGCGCGGCTGAAGCTCTTGCTGCACAGCGGGCACTGGTAGCGGACGCCGGAGTGCGTCAGCTGGTGCTCTTTGAGCGAGCTGCGCTGCTTGAAGGTCTTGGGACAGATGGGGCACTGATACGGCCGGGCGTCGGTGTGCAGACGCTGGTGCCGGCGCAGCGCGCTGGAGAAGGTGAAGCTCTTGCTGCAGATGCTGCAGGTGTAGGGTCTCTCTCCTGTGTGGATCCTCTGGTGCTCTGTCATGTGCACGTGCTGGATGAAGCTCTTCCTGCAGGTGGGGCACTGAAAGGGACGCTCGCCCGAGTGGATCCGCAGGTGCTTCTGCAGCGCTGACGCTTTGAAGCAGTCGCGCCCGCAGACGGGGCAGCAGTGCCGTGATTTCCCATCAGCCCCACTGTCGGCCTGTGGGTTCAGGGGTCCGTGAGGACTTGTGGGCCCATCGCAATCTATGAATCCATCAGGGTCTGTGGGTCCGTCAGGAACTGTGGATCCGTCAGGAACTGTGGATCCGTCAGGAACTGTGGATCCGTCAGGGTCTGTGGGTCCATCAGGGTCTGTGGGTCCATCAGGGTCTGTGAGAGACATCAGAGAGAGCTCAGAGAAACACCGGCTGCTGCTGAGGAGAGTGCCTGCAGGCTTCATGAGGGCGGTCAGCGTTTCAGGGTCAAACATGCAGCCGTCCAATCAGCATTCAGAAAAATCAAACTGCCCTCACAGAGCCCGTCAGGAACAATCAATAACTAATTAATTAAAGATGAAGACTCACTGCCGCGCGCTGGCCTCCAGTCCTCTTCCTCACCATCAGAGTTTATCAGCCCGCTCATGTCTGGCTCTTTACGCTCCTCGCTGTTGCCCCGCCCCTCAGTGGGGCGGGGTTTGTTAACAGAGGGCTCGACTCTGGTGAAAACATCTACGGAGGTCTGTAGAAGTAGACAAAGACAGTTAAATGTTGGCGTGATTATGTCTCCAGATAAATGACAGTAATTTAAAATCACTGTGGCGTGATGTGAGTGGCGAGCACGCGGGTTCACACAGAGGACCGCAGCGTCCTGGACTGTCGGTGACGGCGTTCTGTGCTGACCTCATTCTGCACCTCAGACCTGCACACAGGTCAAAGTTCACCTGAGACCAGCTGTTTTCTTACCTGCACACCTTCATCCACCTCCTTCTTCTTCATCCCCAGCTCCACCTTCCCGCCCTCGATCTTCATGTCGAACCAGAACACCTGAAAGATGCAGAAAATCTGATCTGAGTGCAGTTTCTATCAGTCGAACGCACGCTCAGATGAAAGAGCTTTGAAGTCTGGGCGTCACCTTGTCGGCGGGGTCGGCGATGAGCCCGTCCCTGATGTGGGTCCTCATGTGCTGGCGCAGCAGGCAGGGCTTCAGGAAGCTGCGGGGGCAGATGCTGCAGGCGTGCGGCTTGTCGGCCATGTGGGTCTTCCTGTGCACTCGCAGGGTGGCCGCGCTGCTGAGGATCTTCGCGCATACCGGGCAGCGGTGCGGCTTCTCCGAGTCGTGGACCTTGGCGTGCTCCAAGAGAGCCGACATCTCCGGGAAGCTCCTCCCACAGCTGAGGCAGCTGTGGGAGGAGCTTCCCTTCGGAGTATCGGCGCTCCCGTCTGAGGACGAACAGGAAGAGGGAGTGAAGGACCTGCTTAACTCAGCCGTTCATGTCACCTGGTACTGTATCGTTAAAGCTCACAGACTAAAAGGACAGACAGCTAAACTGTGCAGAACATAACGTGTGGCGTGAAATGAGAAGCTGCTTTGTCGGCGCGCGAACGGGCCGACCCGTCGAGCTCTCGTCTGAAAAGAGGAGCTGGAGTTTCTCACCGGTCGCCGAGTCTCCGTCTGCGTTCCCGGCGTTCCCGTTCTCCACTTTCATCCCGCTGAGCGATTCACCCGTTTTCTGGAACAGAGCGCAGATCTGAGGTCAGTTTACCTGCATCAGCTGTGAGCAGGTCAGATCATCTAACATTTCAAACACGCCAAATAATCCTCTTACATTCTGAAGTCGAGCCTCGCTGCTCACCGGCTGGTCTGAAGGCTGTGATTGGTCGTCAGCGGCGGCGCTGCACTCTTCCCTGCTGTGGATCTCCTGATGCTTCCTCAGCACTCTGAGCACAGAGAAGCGCTTCATGCAGACGTCGCACTGGTACGGCCTCTCTCCGGTGTGAGAGCGCATGTGCTCCTTCAGCCGCGACGCTCGACCGAACTCTCGGCCGCAGACGCCGCAGGTGAACCGCTGCGCCCTCTGGTGGAGCTGCCGGTGCTGCAGCAGCTTCTCCACAGACAAGAAGTCCTTCTGACACAGGAAGCAGTGAAGATTCGTCTCCCCCTGAGTGTCAGACAGACGGAGAACAACCTGAAGCTTCAAC